TGTCAAGAACCAAATCATGAAAATCAAATCGAAAAACTAAATATATCCTACACTGTAGTTATCGATCGTTTCCCTAAAAAATATATTTACTGGCAAAATGTACAACAAGAGATTTTGCGAGAACATTACAAAAAGACATTTGATACAATTCTTGCATGGAATGAAGGTGTAGAAAGATCTCAAGTTGATTCTGAAATACAATCTGATATAGCATGTGACGACGATAAAGATAATCAAATTATGTCGTAAGTGATCAAATTTTGGGTTATTTTAGTTTAATAGAATACTTTTCATTCGATCATCCAGTCTTAGTGAGCTCCAAGAAGCACATGATCAAAAGCATTATGATGAAGATATAGGAGAAAAGCCGATATTGTTCAAAACACTCTCGAAAGATCTTAATACAATTCAGAAAGAGATTTTACGCAAAGAATACGATCAACAAGGTAATAAGAAATTTAATTATTATTGAAATTTGTTCTTTTTTTTTTATATCAGTTAAAATATTTAACACAAAAATGCAACAAATACGTAATGCCATTCAATTGGATAGTTATTTGTTAAAAGAATCAGTTACTTCTACAGATTTATTGTTGAATAAAGTTTCTTCTAATAAAGCACCATTATTTAATCATTCCGGGTTTTTTTATGATATGAAAGCAGAAAATTTTGGCGCCGAGAAGGTTAAACATATTTCATATGAATAGAACTTGACAAAGAATATATATATGTTTATTTTGTAAAGGGTACACCGCCTGTATGTCTTGTTTGTTATAAAAGCACTCATGTTAAATCCGATTGTCCTGAATTGTCTCTCCCAAAGCTGATTGATTTGCCATCAGTTAGTAAAAACTGGATTAATATCATTTCAAATATTTGTGGACGAGTTATGGGTATATGTGTTGATATTCATTTTATATTCTTCTTAATTGTATTTATGTTTCCAGATCAATGTAAACTGAGCAAAGAAGATATTGAAAAGCGAGACGAAATTTTAAACTATTTACAAAAGGAATTTGAAAAATGCTATCCGTTATGTAGTGTTCATGGAAGTGGATCAGCTTATAATGGTTTTGGATTTCGACAAAGTGATCTGGATGTTTGTGTTTTATTAAAAGATCAGGTCTGCTTTTTGATACTTTAATAATTTCTGATTCAGTTTTAATTATAGACTGAAGAATTGAATATTATTATTTTGGAAAAATTATTTCGAATTATTCAATCAGAACCTCAAAAATTCAGAGATATTGAATTAGTACGTGATGCTAGAGTTCCTATTATTCGATGCATAGACAATCAATTTAATATTGAAGTTGATCTTAGTGTTAATAATGCTCTTGTACGTCTTTTGTGTTTTCTATTATTAGTTATGCTTTTATGTTTTAATTTAGGCGGTTGAAAATACTCGACTATTAAAAATCTATACAGAAGTTGATTCTCGTGTGTCTCAATTAGGATATATGCTCAAACATTTAGTTAAGGTACGAAAAGTAACTATAAGTATCGATAACACATCGCTTGTATATGTTAGATATGTGATATTGGCGATGCGAGTAAAGGAACATTATCAAGCTATGCATATATCAATATGGTGATACATTTTCTTCAACAAATTCAACCACCTGTTCTTCCGATTCTTCAACAAGTTGATTCTTTAATAAATACTATAACAATTATTGATTTACGAAATTTTAGTTAAACAACGATCCATCGAATAAGAATGATATGATTCGTCAATGTATGGAGTCGAATGTATATTTCTATGATAATTTACCTAAACTAGTATTTTTATTCATTATTTATTTTTGTTTTTTATTATTATTTTTTTTTAGGGAGCAGTTTGGGTAAATAAAAATGGACCGAATACATTGACAGCAGGTGAATTATGGATTGAATTTTTACGTTATTATACCGAACAATTCGATTATGAAAAAAATGTTGTCACTATTCGACAATTTGAGCCATTAGAGCGTTACAAGAAAGGATGGTTTAACAAAACAATTGCCATCGAAGATCCTTTTAATTTAACGCATAATTTAGCGGATAAATTATCTCAAAAGAGTAAATATTTGCTTCAACGAAAAAATTATTTCTATGTGTTTGAAATAGACTGGACACTTATTCGCCTTGTTTTTATCCAAGCTCGACAACGATTTGGTACAGAATGCAAAGATCGTGTTATACAAGATTCTGATATCGACTGGATTCAGGTTAAACATAATTTACAGATGTATTATAGGATAGAAAGACTCTTTACTTTTAGGATTATCTTTTCAATCGAAACTTTTTACTTTTGGAAAATCCAAGAAAATTAGATAAAGCTAATAAACAAACAGCTGAACCGCTTCAATCTCTGATGGGAATTCGTGTTGATCCAAAATATTATCAATCCTAATCAATAGGACTACTGGAAGAAACACTAAGTTATATTTAAATTAATAGTGATTGAAGTTAAATATAAGATAGAATATCGTGATTTTCAGCGAGATAATGATTTTAACAGGTAAATTTAAAAAAGTTAAAATTTCATCTATTTTTATCTTGTTGAATATTGCCTTCGTAAACGATATTCGATACGCATTTCATTCTATAATAAGGTATAGTTGTGTGCTAAAAGGTTTTGTTTTCGCGGTAGATAGTATTGTCTGAGAAGGAAAAGTGTACTGCCCAAAACACAGAGTACAAGAACAGTAACTAGCATAATATACGCATTTAATTTTGTTGGTTTATGCCATTGATATCCCCACGAACCATCCGCAGGATAATCTTGATGTCGATAGCATGAATATATTTGATTAATCTAGATTTTTTCAAAAAAAAACATGAATAATGAAAACGATTTGAAACAAATATGAACGTTCTTACCTTTTTCTTTTTTACAACTCTTTGAGCCCATGACTTTGAACTATACAAAACTTGCGATACTACTGTCTGATCAATTTCCGTTATTCCAACGTTCTCCTCATCTAGAGTAGTAATCTTCCAAATTGGTCTCCAGAAACGATTTCGTAATGGACCGTCTACTCTCACAGAGATAACTCGACAACGACGTTTGACACATGTCTTCGCTTGTCGTATTTCATTAATTCCAAATATTAATGGGAATAATGCAAAAAAATACGAGAGTACAATGATCGTTACAACCAATGAGCCATTCTTATTAGATCCATCTTCCGTTAAAAATATTTTAAATGATAACCACGACATGCGCAATTGTTTTGTTTTATATCTCGATAATTAATAAATAGATTGATTTGAATTTACCGTTTGATGAAGGTAAGAACATGGTTTTCTATATATACCAAACAGAAAAGAGAAAAATAGTTGTATATCTATTTGAAGTGGGTGTCACTATTTTATCACACCCATACTCCCAAGATAGTTTCTCTTCCAGGACTTTTCATATTGAATTCTAATATTTATTATTTAACACTAAGACAAAAAAACTAGGTATATTACTACTATTATATCAATGACTAATGTTCATTGAATAAACACGTAAGCGTATATGTCAATAGGAGAATATACGACACAAAAGGAAAATAAGAACTATCTTTCTAAAAGAATCGGAATAAAAGAAAGGCAGTATCAAGAACTGAAAGAAAATCATGGATATGCTCAAAATCATTAAAAAAGACAAGAAAAATTTATTACACTATGTGCATCCTTTAAAAAAAATATCTATATGTCTTCTTCACATAAGAAAGCAATTGCTCTTTGCTTATACTCATCCACATCTTATTAGATGGAATGATTTAATTGTTTATATACTAATAAAAGAGTACACTTAAAATGATTATCTCTATAAATACTGGATCAAATTCAATAAACATCTACAGAAGCACATCATTATAAATTGTCTTATCTTGTTGAAAAATCACCCCAAAAGCGTTGTTACCTTACTTTGAGTATTATAATTGTGCTTTCTTCTTAATTCATTTTTGTATACATAAACATCTGTTTGGAATATTTTAGCCCGTTGTGTAAATTATCTTATTTTATGAACACCATTATAATCTAAGATGCGTTCATATTCTCTACTTGCTTATTTTTTTATTTTATTTTCAACAAAAGATGGCACCAGCTCACAACCATAATCTTTTTCTATCTACTGAAATTATCGTATATCTGATATACTTATAAAAATATCCTTAAACATCATAATATGTTTCTTCTAACAATTCTTCAACAACGACACACATCTTGAGGTTGTGAGTATTAATAGTGTTATACGCATCGTAGCTGAAAGTAGTTAATGATTGAAACATTCATATTCATCTACAGATACATCCTCTTTATCACATTTTGTCAACTGTATTAATAGCATAAGTTCTGCCTTTTTCATATCAATCATTCATATGCTCAAAATTAGAAGAACGTAAAAAAGAATAATACATAAAAAAGACACATTTGTCGTTCTATACAACGCAATTCTTTCTATTCTTTAAATAAGTCAATAGTAAATAGAAAAAAAGTGAAGAAGTATGGAGCACATTCTTTTTTCTGTTCTTCACAAAATAAATACTACGTCAATTATTTTGTTCTATCTGAACTCCCTTTCATTACATATATTGTGTGATTTGATCTACGCATAAACAGAATTCCGTTGTATAAAATGTTTTTGCGTTATTCTGATAATGTGTATTTCTATCAATTTAGTTTTTGCGTATTTGATGAAGTATATATACAAGATGCAAAACGTTGATCAGTATAACAATTTTCTCAACGTAATAAAACTTAACAGTTTACACATTTTGTTTAAATCTACTGAATTAAATTGACAAACAATGTCATCAAATCAAAATCAACAAGCTGGTCAACAATGGAACAACCAGCAACAACGACAACAAGATCGTCAAGATCTAAATCGTCAACAAAACCAACAAAATAACCAAAGTTTAAATGCACAACGACAACAACAACAAAATCAACAAGCTGATCAACAAATAAATAACCAGCAACAACAACAAGGTCAACAAAGTAATTGTGCTCAACAATTTAAACAAGCTGGTCAATTTGGAAATGCACAACAACAACAACAACAAAATCAACAACAACATCCTCGACTCATTCACTAAATTGATAATTTTATAGCCTGATAAAAGACAGTCATTTTGTATATTTTTCTGTAATATTGATGTTTTTTTTTGTATTTTTCATAGTTCTTAGAAATTTGTGTGTATGAATTTGAAATAAAATAACTGAGAATGAAAACAATATAAAATTATGTTGTTATATCGAAAGTGATGGAGTTAATTATAATTACGAGAAATATCTGAAAAAAATATTATTATAAATTTTTGAGGTTAATTATAGTCGTTTGTACAGGAGAAAGATCATCCAAAAATATCGAAAGTTGGACACTTAAACATTTTTTTTCTGTTTATAAGCACAAAGAACTTCTGATAAATAACGATACTTGCTTCATATTTAGTTATTTTATTCTGATTACAAGTCATGTTTTACTGTATGATTATTTCTTTTTTATTTTCAATTATAACATTCATATGATTAGTAAAGTCATATTTCTGTAAGGTGGTTGTGAATTAATTAAGCTTAAATAATATAACAAATTTTACACGGTAATCAAAAAATTGATCTCACACCAAGCAATAAGGAAATATCTTCAAAGGATTGAAGTTCAAGATCAGTTTCAAGTAGAGCAAAATCTGTTAAAAAAGCTGAACATCTCACAATCTTGTTGGTGCAATTTCACTTGGTGAAATATGAAATGGAGTATATATCTATATAATTTTGACGTATTATACTATAATCTGAAGGTCGAACGCATAAAAGAGAACATTGATTTTTGGAACAAATAACTGTTTTATTCTGGAATAGGCGAATAAAATTAAAAAAAAATCGTGAATATTAAAAGGTGATATATCTTTCTTCAACACAATGCATATAATATTAATATAAATAATTATTGATATTATTGCATTTAATAATGAAACATCGAATAATGTTTATTTTAAAGATACCATTACCAAACAGTACATTTTTTCATTCGACTATTTCCTTGACCTGGTTTACAATCGAATGCTCGATCATATTCAACAAAATTTGATGTAGGACCATTGACTCTATAAAATAAATATATATATATATAAATTAAGATTATTAATAGTGTAAATATTTGTACCTAAATTGTCCTAGTGAATGCTCATCGGATTCAACACGAGCACGTGCATAGCCATCAGTCATTTTTGCACACCGTATATGAGCATAATTAATGAAAAACATTTGTGTAGGCGAATATTCTGAAAGATCCTGAAGTCTTTTGTCAGCATTTGGATTAGCTTGTATGAATTTTTGATAAGCCTTTAGATTAGAATAAAATAGAAATATATCTTTTCAACTAGATACAATTTAATTGACTAACGTAAAAAGCTACACGTAATCCAATATTATCAGCAATATCTTCATTTTGTGTTTGATCTCCATTTGCCTAAAAAAATAATATGTTCAATCACGAATTTCAAATAAAAAAACTAATTCTTACGTTGATATTAAGATTCGGTACAGTAAAATTATTATATTGATCAACAATACATGTTTTACGTTCAATAAATTTTTCTATTGTTTCATCTGTCCACCATGGAATTCGATTTCCATCTTTATCAAACTGACGACCAATATCATCAAATCCATGAGCTATTTCATGTGCAATGACAACTCCAAGACCTATAAATAATCAGCAATCTTGAAGAATGAAGAAACAATCAAAAACAAATTGAAGAATATTTACCACCATAATTCTGATATCTACAAGATTTACAATTTATCAGTTATATAAATAAAAAATAAAAATAAATGGATTTACTTTGGGGCATCTTTATCATAAAAAGGCATTTGTAAAATACCAGCTGGAATAGCTAAACATAGTAAAAACGATATAATTATATATTCACTGAATCAATAAAAAAGTAAATTTACTAATTTGATTTTTTGATGAGTCATACCAAGCATTAACAGTAGTCGGTGGCAAATAATCCCATGCTTTGCGATCAACATGTTTTCGAAGAAGTTGAAATTCTTCTTTGGCTTTTATTTGAAGTATTTTGAAAATATTATTCATAAAAGATGAACCAAAGACGTACTAAATTATTGAATAATACAATATGAATTATCATTTTCAATACAGAATACATACGTCAGCATATTGCATTTCTAACTCTGTAACATTATCGCTAGCTAAATAGTCTGGATATCCAATTTGTACATCAATAGCTAAAGCCTATTAAGTAAAACATTTTATTTAAATTTATTAGTAAAATAATTATTATTAATTCTACTTTTTCTATGGCTTTATTCTTTGACATACTATCCATCCATGTTGAATTTTCAAGCATATCAATAAATGCTTTTATAATATTAGTAACCATTTCAAATACCTTTAAATAAAATTATTAAAAATATAATAAATATACAAATTTTGTTTTACTTGATTTCGAATATTATCATCAAAATATTTTTTTATATAAATTTTCGATATAGCAAACCCCATGTGTTTATTTACAAAACGTCCACAATTAACTGCACGTGCTCGCTTAGTAGTAGTAACACCAACTACATGATTAAGATTTTCTTTAATGTTTTGAAATTGTTTTGGTAACTTGTGATTTAGATCCATCATAAAACGCGATATAACATAATTTTGTAATATACGTGGTGATACTTGTTCAATAATTGATGAAACACAGTATAAAGAATCGATATCTTCTACAATAACAATATCACTATCCATAAGAGTTACACCAGCTGATGCATAAGCTGAAGTTAAATAATTAGTGAAGTCAAACTAATAAAATAAGAAAATAATAGAAGAAGAATAATAGACAAATTAATTTTAAAAAACTAACACTTATGTTTAATTGTTGTCGTAGTTTTCCAACGGTTGTACGAATTGTTGCATTTGGTCGTTGTTGTTGTTGTTCACCAGTTGTCCTATAACACTAATTGAAAAATAGAATATATCTTATTAATAAGTCTATGCGATTTCTAATCATTATTTGCACTCATAATGAATATCAAAATTTTAGATTCTTTTTGTACCAAATCTTTCTAAGACAAAAGCCTTTTGAGCTTGAACATTTAAAGTAGTATAAAGATCGTATGGAAAAATGACTGACAATCATTTTCTTCATGATATACAACCAACAATATATTGAATACTCTTTAAAAGCACTCAAAACTCAAGATTTTATACATAAACAAAATATAAAATGAATTACTTTTGCAAATTCTTTTTCTAATTTATATACATCATTCACATCTTGTTCGATTGTTGATGTATCATTCGATAATATTGATGCTAAATCAAACATATATTGTCGATAAGCCATAGTAATTTTTGATTCATTCATATAATATTCTGGTTTACCTAATCCAAGATCACCTCGACCAATCTAAAAGAATTCTTATAAATATATAATATATTTCATAGATTTTATGAATTACTTTAAGTACATATTCTGTTGAATTTGTATCATCAACTGATGTACCAATACCAAATATAATATTACTACTATATTTTCGTACTTTAAGTAAACGATCTGATAAATCAAAAGTTGAACTATCCCATGAACTTTGTATAATAGGCGAACCACCAAGTTCATTAGTAATCAATGAAAGTATTAGATTAATACCTTCTTTTTGAATGTTTTGCTCATCTATACATGATTGATATAAAATACGAGCGTTGATTATTGCTTTAGGTTCGTTTGTATCATTAGTTGATGATGATGTTAATATATCTTAATAGAAATAATATTTAAAAAGGAAAATCGTAGAGAAACCGAAAAACATACCAACTATATTATCGTATAATTGTGTTTGCAAGAAATCAGTTGTAGTTGCTAGAAATAAAATTAAAAATTTTTTTTTGATTTATCTTAAATATTTTCTCATACAATCATCAGGTATTCGATTATTTTTAATCCATGTTCCACAAACAAAATGATAAGAATCTTCACATGGGTGAATTGTTCCATCAATACCTTCAGTTAAATACTTTGCTAGAAATATAAAACTAATAGTAATACAATTATATTATTTCGAAGAGAATATACCTGCTTTAAAACAATATGGAGTTACACATAAGTCATTATTCACTAAATTACAAACAAAAAATGATTTTCTTAAAACATAATTTTCAAAATATACTAATTGTTTTAGGTGTTGTTTTATTGTTCTCAGGTAATATAGCATATAAGACAATTTGTGAAAAAAAAGATCACGAATAGAATACCTAGTACAATACGAAGTCTCTTTGAGCATATTCGAGACATTTAAGATCTCACAGATATGCTAATAGAAAAGATTATGGACTTAGTTAATAGATTTACTATGAAAACGCCGTGAGAAACAAATGTCGAAGGAAAGATTTCGTAAGAAAAGGCATCGGAAAAAATAGTCGAATCAAAAACACGAGCGAAAAACGGAAAACTTTATTGCGTTATCAGATGTCGTTAACAATCAAAGCAGCATCGCCGTCATCCTCATTATCCTCACTCTTCATCAAGCATTATTATTTATTGATTGGATAATTTTTTTAGTCGATCTTTTTTTTCTCAACATTTAGTTTTTCGGTGTTTTTATACATACCAATTGATAGATTAGATAATTTACACTTAATCCTTTTTGATGTTCCATCACTGAAACGAACAGCCGCACTTGCAATTGGAATTTAATTAAAATTAACATAAAATGATTATATTTTTCGTTGTTTTAGAAGAAACACTTGGATACTACGTGGACATCAGCAACCAAATTATTAAATCAGTCTAAAGGAAGAGAGAAACATGATTTATATTGCTTAATGTTATATACTTTGAATGAGAAATACTCTCTTCATCTTTTTCTATTTTCTTTTTTATACTAAAACGAAAGGTAAGATCATAAAGGTTTAATCATCTAGTATCCACACCTTGTCTTTCGATTTTATTATTAAAAAATAAAAAAAAAGTAAAAGATAAATATTCGTATTTGTAAATAGTAAAAAGGTGAAAACTTAAATGCAAATGTTAATGTTGATGAACTGTTGAAAGAGATAGCGATATTTTTTAAAAAGTTG